CTTATTGCCACCTCTAGCCCTCATGCAAGCTTCTATCTGCGCTGGCACGCTTCTTATTAAATTATTAACGTTGTCTTTTTTTGGGATATGTTTTCCCATTCTGCTAATGCTGCATCAATAAGCTGTGCAAGATTTTCTGGATTGTTTCGACGAGCTCTAATCCTTCTTTTGAGCTAGTCCCCCAAGTGTTTGATGGGGTTTAGATCTGGTAAACATTCAAGCCAGTCCAAAACTATGACACCTTCCATTTCAAGACATTCTCTAGTCACTCTGCTGGTATGGGGAGGTGCACTATGGTACAAGAAGTTAAAATTATTTCCAATTGCAGCTCTCTAAAGACTAACGATTGGTTCTAGCATCAAATCAACATATCTCCGACCCGTTAAAGTTTGTTGAAGTGGTAACAATGGAGTTTTTACTCCCAGTATAATAACACCCCAGAACATTACAATTCCTCCTTTATATCTTGATACAGATTTGGCAGGCTGAAGTCTCGCTCGTCTTCCTGGAGCTTTAAGAACCCGGATTTGATGGTTATCTGATCTTAGGCCAATTCTGGTCTCATCAGAAAAAAGAACATTTTGCCAATTCTCATTTGTCCGGTTTTGATGTTGAAGGCATCAATTTAGCAGGTCAATTTTATTTTGCCGAGATAACTGTGGGATCCGTAACTCTCTCCTACTGTAAAACCCTCGAGCACAAAGCCTTTTTCTTAAGGTTTCAACTGAAACGTTCACACTTGTAGCTGCCACAAGTTGTCTGAAAAACATTGGAATTTATTCTAACAATTTGGCACACAGGGCGGTCTTGTTGTTCAGTTGTGACTCTTTGACGACTTTGTCTGGGCCTATCATTGTGTGTTCCTAATTCTAAGTATCTTACATATGTTTTCGATACAACACCCTGGGAAACGCCTACTATCCCTGCTACGTTTCTTTAGAGCATTCTTTGTTGGCTGAGAGCAATAATTCTTCCCCTCTATACATCTGTTAATCCAACATAAGGTATTTTTTTGGATCGAATGAAAATTACCAGACAATCGTGATTTTACTACTGAACCAAAATTCAAAAGAAAATAAATCGCAGCAGTCGTTTATTCTTTATTATCATGTTTATTTGCAACAAAAAACCTTATCTTAAAGTTGTATACCAATTTTTATCGTTGCAAGAAATTTAGTCAGAAATAAAGAGTGATTCCATATAAGTTTGCTTGTGTATATTTTCGTACTTTTATGCTTAGGCGTTAAAATGACGTTATAATATTGTCAATCACGTCGCAAAAATTCTAAATTCGTTTGAAAAAAAAATTGTTTCCTCTTGTAAAGACGATCTGTGTACATATACTGTATTACTTATAGAAAATAATATTAAAGCAGCAATAATAAATATAAGCATGAGAATATATTATGGCTTAACTATTTATATTAAACTTAATATTGGGATCTAAGTGGATCTTGGAATTATCGTTGTGGAATTTTCGATATGAAAATGAATACGAAAAAACGAGATTGTTGATATAAGAAAGAGGATATAAAAAAGATAAACGACGTGATATCGACTATAATAAGGCATCACAATGTTTTTATCATAAAATAAATTAATCTGCTATCTGCTGCTATATTTCATTGTAAATTTATTTTGTACAAACGGTTATCCAAAACATATTATAATATAAATAACTGACATATATGAATAATACAAGCTTCTACGATGGGCCGACTGATGATACTGATCCTGAAATAATAATATAATTTCCAATTATGGTATAGCCTCCCTCACGTACTCTCTTTGTAGTTGGGCCCATTGTTGTTGTTGAGATTTAAAGAGTTTGGATTCACATTGTATTATGTTTACCTTTTAAGTATTTTTTTGAAGTTCAAGCATTGTTTTTGAGACAGAATAAGAGAATTTTGAGACAAAGAAAAGAGAATTTTGAGACAGAATAAAAAAGCAGTTGTCATAATTAGAATTTTTATTAAAAGACCGTTTTCTCTGAGAAAACACAACATTTTTGTGGTCTTCGAGCATTGAGCAGCATGGAAGGAATAATTACCAGAAGCAAGTCGAAGGAACGCAGGGCAATGGATGGTGATAACGAGAATGTAGATGATGGGATACAACAGGCAGGAATTTCCGAAACCGTCGGGGACGCTGAGGCTACTGTGAAGGGAACTACCAGTGCATCAAGTGCAAGAAATCAAGCTAGCAGGGTAACAAGCCAAGCAGTCAGCGAGGTGTCCAAGACCAAGAAAGAGTAAGTCCCATTCTAAACATTCTATTTTATCCAGTACAATTAGTAGTAAGAGGTTAGAGGCGTTAAAACAGGCGGACGAAGAGTTAGCTAAGAAAATAAGTAAGGAAGATGAGCTTCTTACCGCGCAAATATCGCTTCTAGATGAGAAAAATGAACTTATTGCTCAACGAACGAAACTAGCAAAAATACGGACAGAACAACAACACAAGATAAACGAGTTGCTCTTGGAAGAGGTCAGCAATAGAAGAAGAAGTGAAGGAAATTCCAGTTGTACAGATTCATTTGTAAATGATCTGGAAAATTAGCCTGAAGACAGACTAGCGAATGAAAATTATGTGGAAAATTGGTTAAGATGGACGCGTGAAAATCAAGATAATGAAGTTAAAGTGATAAAGAAAAGAGAAACTTACAGACCAGAAAAAACAAGACAACCAGGTGGAAAGAAGTGACAAAAACACAGAAAAGGTAGAGAACACAGAAATTAAAGAAAATCAAGACAGAAAACAAGAAAACTACATTACACCCGATTTGAAAAATGCAAGAACATGTTCGAAAACAACTTTGGAAATTTTTGACATTAGAACTTTTTTAGCTCGTCAAACAATTGATAAAGTTTTGCCAATTTTTTCGGGAAATATTAGGGAATGGTTCCACTTCATATCTCAGTCAATAACACTACCAAATTACTTGGTCTAAACGATGAGGAGAATTTATGTCGGCTAAGGAAGTGTCTGACTGGCGACGCAAAAAGAGCAGTGCAAGGTTTGCTAATGACAAATGGTCCGGTGGAAAAAATACTCTACATTTTACAAATTCGTTTTGGGAGACCTGAAGATATAGTGAGATCCTTTGTAGCAGAATCCAAAGCCTATCCTTACCTAAAAAATAACGGTTTTTCCGCATTAATACACTTTTCTGACATGTTAGGAAGTTTGGTTACAACGCTCGAGTCTCTGAAAATGGAAAATTACCTAACATGTCCTGAACTTCTCGGCACATTAATTCAAAAATTACCCTCTTCAATGCAGATCTCTTGGACAAAACATAAATTGAGACAAACCTCCGGAAATTCATTAAGATGTTTTCAAGAGTGGATACAAACAGAAGCAGAAACTGTACAAGGGCTCCTTCATTTGAGGCCTGGAGGAAGTAATTCAATTATTATATTATTAAAATTAAAAAAATTGACACTTATGCTTTATTTGATGAAGCATCGACAGTGACGCTAATTGATGAAGATTTTAGTAAGGAATTGAATCTCAAAGGAGAAGAGGTGAATCTTGGTTTAAAATGGACAGATAAAGAGTCAAGGAAACAAATTAACTGTCAAAAAACCTCATTCAAAATCTCAGGAAATGATTGTGTATTTTATGAACTCACAGATGTGTACACTATGCAAGATATGGACCTACCAGTACAATCCGTCAATTCAAGAAAATTCAAAGATACATGGAAACACTTAAGAAACATAGACTTTAAAAGCTATTTGAACGCGAAACCAAAAATATTAATTGGTCAAGATCACTGGGATATAATCATAACAAGAAAAATTATTGAAGGCCCTAAAAATTCACCTGCCTTGTCTCTTACGAAATTAGGCTGGATTTTGCACGGAAACGTAAGTACTCTCAGACATACGGCTCATCAATCTATTCTACATATCGTATGTCAACCAGAAGACAAAGATGAACTACACGAGCTAGTAAACTCCTTTTTTACTATAGAAAACTTATGAGTTAAATTACAAGAAAAATCAATATCACAAGAAGAAGAAAAAGCAATGGAAATTATAAAAGCAACCACTAAACGAATTGAAAACAGATGGGAAACTGGATTATTGTGGAAAAGTGAGGAAACAATATTTCCAGAATCAAGACCAATCGCATACAAGATACTAGAGTACATGGAAAGAAAAATGAAGAAAGATGCGATTTTTAAAGAATTATATGAACATAAAATTAAAGACTACTTGAACAAGGGTTATGCTAGAAAAGTAACAGAAGAGGAAATTTCAGAAAATAAAGAGAGGGTTTGGTATGTTCCACATTTTGGTGTGATTAATCCAAACAAACCAGGAAAATTAAGATTTGTCTTTGATGCCGCCGCCAGAGTTGATGGAAAATGTTTGAAGGATTTTCTATTAAAAGGACCTGATTTGTTTAACAGTTTACTAGAAATACTTTTAAAATTCAGGCAAAAAAGCATAGCTTTCTCCGCTGATATTCGTGAAATGTTTCATCAAGTCCACATAAGAAAAGAAAACCAAACTGCTCAACGATTTTTGTGGAGAGAAAAAGAAAATGAAATACCGTCCACGTATGCCATGGTAGCGATGATTTTTGGTGCAGTCTCATCGCCATTTTCGGCACAATACATCAAAAACTTTAATGCTTTAGAATTCAAAGAAAAATACCCTAAGACTTCAGAAGCAATCATGAAAAAGCACTACATGGATGACTATCTGGATTCTGAAGACTCAGAAGAGGATGCGATCAAACTGATATCTGAAGTAATACAGATTCATCAAAATGGAGGGTTTGAGATTTGTGGTTGGGCATCCAATTCCAAAACTGTTTTAAATAGCATACCAGATTTAAGACCAAGCACTGTATCCAAAAAATGAAAATATTATGCCAATTGAAAGAGTGTTGGGAGTCAGATGGAACCCAAACACAGACGAGTTATATTTTAGTCTAAACTTTAATACAATTGACAAAGAGATTTTAACAAATAGAACACCAACGAAATGAGAAGTTTTGAAAACAGTTATGTCAATATATCATCTTTGGGACTACTGGGTAACTTCTTGATAAGAGGAAAAATTATTTTACAAGATATTTGGCGATCTGGAATTGATTGGGATCAAAAAATTAGTAACGAAATAGAGAAAAAGTGGAAAAAATGGCTGGAGAATTTAGAACAAATGTATAAGCTTAGAATTCCAAGGTGTTATTGTCTTGCTGCGTGCTACACAGTTCAGCTACATATGTTTTCAGATGCAAGTGGAAAAGCCTTTGGAGGTGTTGGCTACTTTAGATTTGAATACAATAATGGCATACAGGTATCTTTAGTAATGTCAAAAACACAGGTAGCGCCATTAAAGCCAATATCAATACTACGTTTGGAACTTCAAGCTGCTTTAGTTTCATGTAGATTAGCTGAAACCATAAAGAAAAAACATAGCATAAAAATCGATTCTACACATTTTTGGACCGATTCTCAAATAGTTTTGTCATGGATAAAATCTGAGGCAAGAATACTGGGAACATTTATCGCAAATCGTGTAGGAGAAATTCAAGAAAAAACTAGTACAAAAAATTGGCACTGGATATCAACTAAATTGAATGTAACAGATGAAGCAACCAGAGATGAAGAAACACTCAAGTTAAACCTGAATGAAAGATGGCATAAAGGTCCGGATTTTCTATATCTACAGGATGTAGACTGGAATAGCTTAAACCTAGCACAAAAATGTGAATCTATTTCTGAATCAGGAGAAAATGAAAAATTAATTCTGGTTAATCAAAAAGTTTCATTAGATTTTCTACCAGATATGAGAAAGTTTTCTTTTTGGACAAAAGTCATACGAAGCACCGCAATAATTTACGTTTTTATAGATTTTAGAATTGCAAAAAGAAGACAAGACCAAACCAAAATATCCAGACAAGATATAGAAAAAGAAGAGAGTTTGTGGATTAGGAAAATTCAGACAGATAATTTTCAGAAAGAGATATTAGATCTAGAAACTAAAAATATTGTAAATTCACAAAGTGCACTCTATCAACTTACACCAACGGTGAAGAATGGACTCATCTGTATGAATGGAAGAATTAACAAGGCTGTAGAACTACCAGAAGAAACAAAAAACCCAATCATTTTAAGCAATAAGCATTTAGCAACCAAATTATTAATTTTGATGTACCATAGAAGAACTGGACATGGAGGAGTGGGAATTACATTAAATGAAATTAGACAAAAATTCTGGATATTACAAGCAAGAAAAACAATAAAAAATGTAATAAGAAATTGTGCCTTATGTGCCATAAGAAAGGCTAAGCCAAGAATTCCGCAAATGGGACAAATTCCAGAATTTAGGCTAGAAAAACCAATGACACAAAGACCCTTTACATATACGGGTATAGATATGTTTGGCCCATATAATGTTAGCATCGGGAGAAGAAGAGAAAGAAGATATGGTATGCTCTTCACTTGTTTGTCAGTAAGAGCAATCCATATTGAATTGACAGAGACACTTAATACCGATTCTACATTATTAGCCCTCAGACGTTTTATTTCACGTAGGGCTCAACCTAAAATGATTTTATGTGACAATGGTGGGAATTTCCATTCTGCTGCTAAAGAACTAAAAAGCGCTCTGAAGGAAATAGATTATGACAAAATAGAGAGACATTTATTAGCAGAGGAAATCGAATGGAGGTTTATACCACCTGCCAGTCCCCACATTGGAGGCGCGTGGGAGAGAATGGTCAAGTCAGTCAAGTCCGCTTTAAAAATTTCACTGAGAGAACAATCACCAAGACCAGAAGTTTTGGAAACATTAATGTGCGAAGCCGAACACATTGTAAATAGCCGTCCTTTAACATATGTATCATCGAGCGCGGAAGATCCATTAAGTATCACCCCAAACCACTTTCTTATAGGCTCATCAAGCATAGTCAAACCGCCAGGATTATTTATCGATCAAGATTGGAATATTAGAAAACAGTGGAGGATTTCTCAAAAAATTACAGAACATTTTTGGACCAGATGGATAAAAGAATACATTCCAACACTTACCAAACGAACGAAATGGTTCCAAGAAAACAAAAATCTAAAAATAGGTGACCTTGTTATTTTGATGGACGATAAATTCCCTAAAAACAATTGGCCGCTGGGACGGGTGGAAAAAGTATATCCGGGACACGATGGAAAGGTACGAGTAGCCGATATAAAAACTAAAACTGGGACTTACTGCCGACCTCTTACTAAAATCTGTATTGTTGAATGTTTGGAAATGGGTGAAGACTGAAGAAGCAGCTTCACGCCGGGTAGAAAATGTTGAGATTTAAAGAGTTTGGATTCACATTGTATTATGTTTACCTTTTACCTATTTTTTTGAAGTTCAAGCATTGTTAGAATTTTGAGACAGAATAAAAAAGCAGTTGTCATAATTAGAATTTTTATTAAAAGACCGTTTTCTCTGAGAAAACACAACAGTTGTCAGTATGTATGCGGGCCCAAGTTATCCCTGCTAATTTCCTAATAGCATGGTCCCATCTCAGGTTCGGTCTTCCTCTAGGTCTCTTAATTCCTCATGGGAACCATGCTATCGTTTTTGTAGTCCATCTCTTGTCCGTTCTTATTGCCATTTGAGAGATTTGACTGATGTCAAAACTTGACATGTGATATGACATTCTATTCAGAATGTTATTTTCTATTCAGTAAAGTAAAAAAATACCGAGAGTGCCATTTAAAAATCAAAAGTTGTAGTCATTTCCGGTGAAACAGGAAGTGACCGAAAACAATTAATTGAATACGTCAATCAATCCTAATTTATGTCATATATTAACATACCAAATCTCGTTTTTTATCTGAAAAAATAAAAAATTACGCATACGAAGGTTTTATGTTTTTTGATTTAATCCCGTTGGTGCGTGTTTGTGCGCGTTTCCACGTCCACACTGAATGAATGCAACTGCAACGTCGCAAATTGTTTTGCGCGGCTCAACGCGGCCGGTCTGGAGGCACCTTTATATATTTTTTAAATATAATCGATACCAAATAAACTTTTAGTTACGTCTTCGAGGGCGCGATTATTAAATTTATGTTCTCAACCATATAATCGGCGCCGGACTGACTAACTGAAATTTAAACTTCCCGCTGACGATTCAAGTAGTATCTCCGCTGTAAAAAATGTCAAGTTGCCACGTTTATTTATTTATTAACGTTGATACTGACATTTTGATTTGTTTTGACACTTTAGTTTTGTATTACGGGTTGTTGATTTAAGTGAATTGTGTTGTTATACTTTAAGCTTAAATATTTTTACCAGCGGACCTTGTAGTATAAAAAGTAAAATTGTTCTTTTTAGAACCGCTGGTAGTACGAGGTGTACAAGACGCCGAAGCAACCTAACAACCGTTGCAAAAACCTCATCGCAACCTTATTAGAATATTTTGAACCCGAAAAAGATAATAATAATCCTTTATATCCCTTAAGTGCTGTTAAGGAGGTGAGTTTTGTTGATGTAAATAATAACTGTTTATATATTTATAACTAATTCATTTTTGTTTTCTAAAATGTGTAAAAGTGTGCAACGCTGTGCCGGTCAATCTTAATCACATGACTAAAAGTTTATATGGTATGATTTAAGCCGGGACCCAATTACGCCACACGCCACGCTATCCCACGTGAACCCACGTGTTGCGACGCGACGTGGAGAAAAATGGTACACATGAGATCTGGGACAGACCAATCGCCCATCACACGTGTGATAGCGTTGGATGGCGTAACGTGGGGTGGCGTGTTGCCTAGTGTGTACTAGTGATGGGAATACCGGTTCCACATGAGTCGCGTTACAATAGCGACCGTTCCAGAAAAATACCGCGATTTTGTAATCGAGGTTCCAAGTTCCTAAGTGTCGCGGTCCTCACTTATGTAGTATTTCTGGCATTGGTACCTACTTTTATTTTATACTACCTACCTAGTCCCACAAACCACTGTCAAAAAAAATCTTTATTGGTGACCGGTTTCGGCAATTCCAGCCATCATCAGACCTTAAAAATAGATATAAGCTATAAAACTTATATAAATGTATAAAAGCAAATAACATTTTCATTTTATTTTATTTGCTTTTACGTTTCATCTTTCAAACAACGCTATTTTATACCATGCTTAGTACATACCAAATATCGCTATTTCAAAAGTAACGTATCGACGGCGACGGGAGCACCAAAGCCAATAGTAATCGACCCAATCGCTACAGGCGAAAACGAAACCCTAGACGCGCTCTAGCGACTGCTGGAACGAAGTAAGCCGCCTCCGAGGTCGAGCGTCGATAGCCAGTTACAGCAGTTACTTTTGATCGCGACAGGGAACTAAAACTCTAGGAGCGCGACGGCTGGAGCGAAGTAGGCCGCCGAGGTCGTTAGGCGGTCGGTGCGAAGTCGATGTGATTAATACTAAGAGTGGAGGGAGATTCGCTTGGATTTCGAGGCGCTTCCGCTTCGAAAGCCAAACGACCCGTGTGCGGACGCTCTTATATTTCTAATTTATTTGTTTTATTTCATTGCTGCCAAATGCGGAGATATACCACCTGAAACGTTAAGCATTTTTTGTTGATCATGCAAATTTGTTATCCAGTTGTCCTTTTCAAATTTGTTGTCCTTCGTTCCCGCTATGTTTTACACGTATTAAACTCCAAGTGCCGCGGCTCGTGACGCCAACAAGGTAAGGTATACTACGTATAGAAAATATATTGGGTTAAGGTGCGATAGGTATAGTTTTTATTGGCCATCGACCGCGTCATTCATAGAAGGATTTCTAAGATAGACAACTTCATATACACTTGTATTTGGCAGTCATGTAGCAGTCTACTGACAGACGATATAAAAAGTGGCGATTTTTGTCTTTGTCTAGAAACCCCAGAGTGTTATTATTGTAATTTGTAATATTGTTTATTAGTTGAGAATCAATACAGTTGATTAAGAAAAACTGAGTGCATTATTTCTATATAAATATACTACAGGATTTCAGTCATATCCTTGGAAAAATTTCGCCGTTTGGGCAGTTTATAAAAACACAAATTATAAAATAACCTAGGTTTTTGTATCGTTTATCGCGTATCGCGTATGTTTGGTTTAGTCAGTATAAATCAATATTTAAATTTTTAATATCGAAAAAAAATTTAGTTTTAGTTTCCAAGCGAGAAAATTTAGTTTTAGTTATCGTAGCCGAGGGTTTGAGATACAGCGCGAAATTTGTAGGTATAATAATTCATAATTTTCCGATTCTGGATAAATGATGAACTCTTGTTGACTGATTCTGGAATAGATATTTTCAAATAGACAACATATGGTGTTTAGTTTGTAAAATCGTGCTGTTAAAAGAAAACGATTGCTTAAATTTTGAAAAACGTTTAGAGAAAGAATTGACTTAAAATATAAAAAATTGTGAAATAAAACTTTTAGAAATGTGTATTTATATTTTTGTGAACATTATTATTTTTTAAGTATCTTTTAAATCCTACCGTCGAAAATTTGTGTAAAGAACATTGACTGGATTTTTAGTGAAATGGTACTAGACCACCTGTTTAAAAATATAAGGGTAGGTTTCATTTTAACATAGTTTGTATTTATTTTTAGATTTATTTTCCTTTAACTTAACGTACTAGTACCTTGTAAGAAACCAATTAAATTTGGTCGCGTCACAAAAAAAAATCGACGGAATCGAATATTTTTAGATATTGACCTCCTATAATAATAACCACGAGCCGCCACTGTTAGGCAGTGGTATTTGAGAACCAATAGCCATATTATACTTAAATTTCTAGTTTCAGTGGCGAAATACCCAGCCCTTTTAAAAAATAGACCTGCCATAAACGATTTACATTTATCGATGTCAGAAGGAAAGGAACTTCGATACGTTAAGGAACAGCTTAAGCTTTAACCTTGCCGAATTTGCAAATTCAATTTCGATTACGGTTGCGATGACTTAAAACAATGCCGAATTTAAATTAAGTCGAAAATTAAACCCTCTATAATAGTTTCTAGAATATTGTCTTGACTGGTCGAGCGACATTTAAGACAATTTCTTGCCCCGATGCTGTTATTATGTACGTTTAATAGAGCTTGGGCTCGCTCTAATGGAACCGAACTTAGTAATAAGAGTGACTGGACGACTGGAAATTGTAATTAAAACTAACAAGGAAGTAGACTAACCGGCAGAACAGGAATTAGCAAACCCAACCGAGCGTATAAAGGCACATATTGAGATGTCTAATTGCAATGTTATTAAACGATAACTGTGTTATACCGGAAAATTTCACACCGGTACTTTTTAATCAATCAAAATGGTTTATTTCGACAGGTCACAATAGTAACCCATGTATTTTATGGTATATCTTTCACTAGGGTAGGTAATCAACAGCATATTATAGTGGAAATTTCATGACATTATAATAACAGCACATTTTATAATTATTTCTTTATTTATAGATATTACTTACGTGTTTACATTTTGCAAAAAGGCATAATTAAGGTATTTTTATATTCTTTCTCCTTAAATACGAAAAAACTAGACTTGGAATTGAAGTCATTTAAAAGATAATCAAAAGACACCACGAACAAAGAAAAATAACTATTTAAAATAAATAAATACCTTTATTGTCAAAAAATCTTACAATTTGTAGACAAAGGTAAAGTAAACAAACAACGTAAACAAACAAAGTAAGCAAACGAACAAACCAAAGAGAATACGAAACATTATACAAATTACATTGTCAGTCTTATTGTTAAAAATAAACATTTATAAATGTTTACAATGTCAAAGAATAAAAAAATAAAAATAAGACTCAAAAATATTTAGTAATAAGTTTATAGTAAATATCAATGAACTCTAAATAAATTAATTTCGATGTCATTGGTAGGTATAGTAATAGCAAACATTAGACCATTGTTTACAAGATCAAATTTGATTATCAAAATATAAGTCATTTACGGCGTAGAAAGCCTTGTCTAGGAAAAAAGATTTCAATGCTTTGCGAAATGAAGCAAATGATGCTATGGATTTGATTTCAAATGGCAGGTGATTTTTTTCGAGTTGTATAATATTGAACTTTTAACTAACTCTGAGCGTGGGGTAGGTAGATAAAGATCTTGCTCCGCGTTCCTCAATGGATAAGTGTGAGATGGCCTATCCTGAGAAGCTGATACATGCTTACGTATTAGGCAAACGGATTCAAATATAAATAAGGAAGGAAGAGTTAATATTTTTTAATTTTTTAAAATATCCTGGCAATGAGTTCTGCTG